AGGGGTGGGCGGGGCACCACCTGGGTCTGTGGGAGACCTGGGAGGAGCCTCTTGGTTGGAAAGGTCTCCAAGCTGAGATCCGAAGGTTGCATCAGCAAAGGGCGGGAGAGAGGGGTGGATCCGTGCTGCAGATGCAGAGAACAGCACGCGCAAAGGCACTGGGGGAGGGGGAGGATGGAGGGCAGCTGAGTGTGGCTGGAACAAGGAGGCTGGAGGGGGCGAGTGTGGGGAGCTTTGCAGACCAAGGCAGGCCTGGGTCCGAGAGGGCATGGCAGCTTTTTTAAGTCTGGCAATCGGGAGCCATGGGTGGGGTTTGAGCAGGGGGGAGATGGCAGGCCCACTGAGAGTTATACTTGAGAAAGGTCACACTGGAACCTGGACGAGGCTACACGAGCTCCTTTAGAAGGTGTTTACAGCAGTCCTGGCAGGTGGACCCCAGAATTTCTAACATGGCTTAAGGAACAGGGGCTGAAAACAGCACCTGTCTCCCCTCCAAACTCCCACGTCCACCTGGTCAGATGGCGGAGGCTGCAGAGGACCACCCTCAGAGGTCAGGCCCACGCATGTTCAAATTCCAGCCACACAGGAGCTTGCTGTTGGACAAAAGGCATGAGCTATCTGAGCCGGGGTTTCCAACAAGGGGGTTAGAACATCTTCCTGTGTCCCAGGAATCGCCAGTGTTCACAGTGTGGGGCCGTGTGAGGATTCGATTAGAAAACGCACTCAGAGAATGGTGCTCATCTCATTTTAGGTACCAGTTGTCAGTTCTCTAATGACCCAGCGCCTCCAGGCTCCCTGGGCACCCTGTGTGCCTAAGTCACTGTCCCTTCCCCACAGAAAATCACCGCCAGCTGAGGAGACGCCAGTATGGAGAGGAGACGCAGTCGCACCCACAACACCCATTGTATTACTCTGCCTTCTGTCTCTACTGCGAACCACCTGAGACGGTGACTTCCTAAAGGGAAAAGGCTGATTTAGCTCAGAGCTGGAGAGACGCAGGTCTAAGATCAGGCAGCGGCAGCAGAGCACACGCAGAGAAAGCGAGCCAGCAAGGAGGGAGAGGGGCCAGGGCGCTTTTACAGCAGCCCTCCCAGGGGACGCCAAGAGCCCCACCTCCTAAACACCACTGCTGGTGTAGACCTCCACCTTCTGAGCACCATTAACTTAGGACTGTGGAGTTTAAATGTCTTAGGGTTTGGGGGTTTCAAGCATGTGTCCACGAGACCAATCATGCTCAAACTGTGAGCCCCTGTGTGCTTCCCGGACCAGGGCAGTGGCCAGCGGAGTATTTGGGGAAGAGGAAAGCATCTGAGTGTACTCAGGCAGTGGGAACAGCCCTGGGGTCCCCAGCTGCCAGCCCAGGCAGCACAGAGCAGAGTAACACGATCAGGCCTGGAAATCTCCAGCTGGCGTGGAGAGACCGGGGACAGAGTGTGTGCGCGTGTGTTGAGATAGGGTACAGTGGCCTAAATAGCGCAGATCACGGGGCTGATGGTACAGGGTTTGTGACAGCCATGGGGTCACGGGATCCACGCAGAAGGCACCCCCAGAGTTGAGAAAGACATCCAGGCCTGGCCTGGCCATCGGCTGAGCTTGGAAAGGGCAGGGGTGAAAATAACCCTGGGCAGTCGGGAGCTGTTAAAGCCGCCTGTGACCTATCCTGCGCAGACTCCAGCCCAGGGCTCGCTGGCTGCGGAGGTGGAGGGCTTTTTATTTAGGGAATAGTCGAAATGGCCATGTGCAGGGGAGGGTACCAGTGCCATGCTCGCGTGCGCGGGCTAGCTCTCTCAGATGCAACAGTGGAAAAGGAAGAAGTAGATACCCCAGCATGCACGTGACCAGAGCTCAGTCACGTCCTGTAGGGTGACAGAAGTCACAGGGGCAGATGGGGAGGTACTGCTGGCGCCGTGCATGGGAGCAGCTGTCCCAGCACCAGGCCACCAGGCAATGCTGCAGATAGATGCTTTATTCACACACTGAGGGGGCTTCGGAGAGCTCATGGAACATGGGAAGAAAGTTTATTTTGATGCAAAACATTTTTGAAATTGTACATACAAGGCTCTTTAAAATGCTCACAGGAAACTCGGCACCGATTTCAAAAGGCTTGCACCAAAATTCAGCTTACCTCCCCTTCATTTTTCCATGGAGTTTGTGAGGTGCCCTGCTGTATTCTTCTCCGTCGGTGAAAAGCAGGGTTGGAGCGCCAGGCGGGGAGCTCACGGCATAGATTACCTCTGGGGAAGAGCGAACGTGAGCCAGGTCTCCCGCCTGGGTGGCCCGTGCCCAGCTACTGAGCCAGCACTGCTGTCCCCCAGAGTGTGCATTAGCAGAAAGCTGGAGTCAGGCGCTAGAGTCGGGACTCAAACCCAGGTCCTGCAACACGGAGCATGGGTGCCTTATCAGGGGGCTGGACGCCCAGCCCTGGAATGGATCGGTTTTTTTCCCACTTTCTTCCTCTGCTTGACATTTTGTGACTTTCCGTGATAATCCTGTTGCTGTGAGGATTATTTTCATGGCTGAGGCTTTGGTTTCTTTCAGCAGAAAAGATGTAAAATGAAGTAAAATAGATCACTAAAAATGTGTGTTTAGCAAAATACAAAAAATACTAACCCCCTGGCTCATCTTGCCCCTTTACTTTTAAATGCAACTTTGTTTTTAATGCCAAGAATGGCAGGAGCAGTTTAAGCTGTGGCGACCGCATTCAGTTTATGTTGAATCTGCTGACCTCATCCTAGGGAGAAGACATAGCCTGCAGCGACTGGAAACAATTGCAAACGATTGACAAACTTGAAACAATTGCAAACAGTTAACAAACTTTCCAACCTTCGAAACAATCTAGTGGGACCCAGCCTGCCAGGGCCAGAGGCCAGCGGACCCCTGGGGTGGGGAGTGTTTGTTTCATCTTCTGAGCCAGCCTAATGCTATGTCCAATGCAGAGTGAGCCGCGAGGCAGCAGTTAGCCTAGTGGTTCCACGGTGCGCCCTCCACATCAGAGCACCAGGCTCTGATTCCCAGCTCCCCATTCCCGCTTCCTGAGTTTACGTGGACCTTGGAAGCAGTGGTGATGGCGCGAGTAATTGGGTCCCTAGAGACGTGGATTGAATTCTTGGCCCCCAGCTTTGGTCCCAGCCCTTGTGGGCCTTTGGGAAGTGAACCAGTGGATAGGAGTGCGTGCGTGTGCACGCACACACACACACACACATGCACACACACACTCCCTCTCTCAAATAACGAAATTTTTTAAAATAGAGTAAATTATCAAAGAGTTCATTTGAAGCTTATTAGTAAAATTTAATACAGCAATGCTTTAGAACTTAGCCAAACAAAATACTTTCTCAGGAATGAATTTTTGAACAGCTGGTCAGAACAGCTCTGTATCCTAAAAGAAAACTGTTACAATTAATGTTTAAAGAATCGCCCTGATTTGATCATTTGATCATTTGATACACATTTTGAGTGCACCCCATAAATATATGCAATTTTTTACATTAAATTTTTAAAAATGCCACTCCACAAAAAAGTAAGCGGCACAAAAAAACCTTACATAGTTCCCACTATGGAGAACAGTTCAGTTTACTCTAATAAAACAGCTCACAATGTTTAAAAAAAAAAATCTTTATGAGACTACAAAGCAGGCTGACTTCAGTCAGTTTTACTTTTTTGTAGACTTAGTCCAGCCTCTAAGCAGTGGTGTCCAGGTGGGGCCCCCACCTCGCCCCACCCTTGGGCCCCACTGCTGGGCAGCCCAGCTCTGGGGAGGAAGGTGGCTATGGGGCCGGGGAGACCAAGAGGGCGCAAACAGCTTCGAGGCTCTCACGCCTCGGGACGGGCAGCGAAGGCCGGGGCCCGGGCAGGATCCCGCCTAGAAGGCTGACCCTGGTGCCTCCCCAGCGGCCTCTCCATCCGTCCCTCTGACCCTCGGTCCGTCAGTCCGTCCAGCCAGCCAGTTTCCTTTCTACCTGCATCTCCACCTGTGCGTCCTCTGACACATCCATCAAGTCCGCTGTTTTCTCCCACAAATATTAATGAGACTCCCTCCCCTCGGTGGAACAGGCCCAGGAAGCGGGCCTGGAATATGCCGGAGAGGACGGACAGAGTCCCCGGGGCTGACACTGGGGCAGAGGACAGAGCAGGAGACAGGGAGACAGACAGACAAGCGGACAGTTGCAAGTTGGGCCCAGCCTCGGATGGGAACAGACCATTGCCGCCTTGTCCTTCCATCTGTCCGGCCAGCAGCCTGGGCCAGCCTTGGCGCTCTGCTCCGCCATGTTGCCCAAGCATGAGACTCACCGGTACACGCGGTACAAACACAGATTTCTAGAACCTTCCTGGAGACTCCCATCCAGGACCAGAAACCGCGGTGGGCAGACGAGCCCGTGGTGCGTGACAAGGCTCAACTGTGTTTCCTCCCCCACCCTCAGCCAGAACCCGGAAACTTGGGCAGCTCAGGATCCAGGAGACAGCTGGGCCCGGCCACAGGGCCCCAGGACACACCTGCGCTGATTCTCACAGCCTGGAGCCCAGGCAGGGGGAGGGCTTGCAAGGCCAGGGGTCAGACCCACCCAGCACCAGGCCGCCAGCAGGCTGAAGGGGCCAAGGCGCTGGACATGCCAGGACCGAGGAGCCTGCCAGAATTGCCGGCCCCGAAGGAGAAAGAGGAGGTGGTGGAGGAGGAGTCTCGGCAGCTCGGGCAGGTATGAGGCCGAGGCCGGTCATTCTGGGGGTCCTGGGGGGCCTCCGGGACCCACTGTCATGATCCCAGGCCCAGTCTGCCTTTGCTTAAGGAACATGCCCCGGGGGGGAGTCGTGGGGGCAGCGCAGGTGTGAAAGGGCAGAGACGGCTTGCGGAGGTGTCCACAGGGCTGGCAGCAGCATGGGGCAAGCGCAGGTGTCTCAGGTCAGCACCGTTTCCCCGTGTGCCTCTATAAAGCTCCCGTAGCCCTCCAGAGCCTGCCACCCACCTGCCCCCAGCAGCGAGCCTCAAAGACGCTGAGCCCTGATCAGACAAGGACAGGATCCATTTTAAATATCAAATCACTGCTACAGCAGTCTAGCCTGGGGCCAGGCATTAGTCAGAGGTGGTGTGTGGTCTAGCCTGGGGCCAGGCATTAGTTGGAGGTGGTGTGTGGTCTAGCCTGGGGGCAGGCACAAGTCCCAGGTGGCATGTGGTCTAGCCTGGGGCCAGGCATTAGTTGGAGGTGATGTGTGGTCTAGTCTGGGGCCAGGCACAAGTCTCAGGTGGCATGTGGTCTAGCCTGGGGCCAGGCACAAGTCACAGTATGCTGCAGCAGTCCAGCCTGGGGCCAGGCATTAGTTGGAGGTGATGTGTGGTCTAGCCTGGGGCCAGGCACAAGTCACAGTATGCTGCAGCAGTCTAGCCTGGGGCCAGGCACAAGTTGCAGGTGGTGTGATTGGATCCTTACTGCTTTGTCTTGGTGGCAGCGTGAAGGACCCTGCCAGGAGGGGATGTCAGGTGTCTGGGTTTGGGGCAGAGGCGAGGCCTGGGAGGTCACAGAGACACCTGGGACTGCTGGTAGTCGACCTGTGAGATGCGGTTGGGTGAGGCCAGACATTCTGAAAGCATCTCACCAGCCTGGGGAAGCCGGGGGTGGGGGGACTTCCTGGAGGAGGTGGTTCTACCCTGGACTGTAAAGAAGCCAGAAGAGACAGGAGCATTGTCATCAGGAACGTGGGGATACATGGGGTTTGGGGAGGGAGGAGGGAGCCCACGCCGTTCTCCTTCCCACCCCCAATCATCAAGACGTCGGACGGGGAGGGACGGGGCTGCGGGCTCGGTGCTACCTGCCTTACGGGCCACACCTCTCTCAGTCTGGGATGGGCGAGTGATTGCTGTGTAGCTGCATTGCCCCAAATGGTGGGGCTGGGGCTCCCAGCGCTGGGGGGCTCAGGAGTCTGGTCTGCTGCGTGGGCCGGCGGCCACCCAAAGGCCTGGCCAGGTGGAGCTCCGTTCCAGCTCGGGTGTCTGTTGGCAGAAATGAGTTCTTCCATGGTGCACTTGGATGGCAAGGCTGTGTGCTTCCCCAGAGTGTGCAGGCTGGGGGCGGGCTCTGGCCCCGTGGCTAAAAAGTGCCGTATCAGAGGCCCTGGGTTCAAGTCCTGGCTCCCTTTCAATTCTAACTTTCTCCTGTGCACTCCCTGGGAGGCAGCTGGTGATGGCTGGAGTGCTCGGGCCCCTGCCGTTCCCGTGGGAGTTCGGGGTTGAGTTCTGGGCTCCTGACTTCAGCCTAGCCCAGTTCCAGTTGTGGTGGTCATTCGGGGAGTGGGCCAGTGGCTGGTAGCTCTTTGTCTATTTCTATGCCTCTCAAATAAATAAATTCTATGAAGGGGGGGAGGGCAGGGGAATTTGTAAGAAGGCACCAGTCGGCCATCAGGGAGGAAGTCGCAAGCTTTTGTGATCTCATTGCAGAAGGGACAGCTCTCACCCTCTGGAGCCCGTGGACGAAAGCAAGCCATGGGTCCTGAGAATGTGGGAGGTGGGAGCCCCTGGGGACACTGAGTCACGGAGAGCTGCCAGTCTGGCCCCCAGAGAGGAGGCAGCCCGTGTGCATGATCAGAAGTTCCCAAAGTTTCGTGGGAAGCACACTGCTTCTGCACCTGGTCCCAGGTACAGGAAGTACAGAAGTGTTTAGACCAAGGTGCCCAGGTCCTAGGATCCCCTCGGGCAGTGGACAAAGACCGAGCTGAAAGGCGTTTCCATTCAGCTCGCTGGGTAATTTCTAAAAACCTGCTCAAGTACATGGTCTTTTAGAGAAGGGGGATAATTAACCTGATCTGGTAGAAGTGGAGATCCAGGTAGACTTCCTGGAAGAGGTATTGCGAGTGAAGCTCAGAGCCACGGTCCAAGCAGAAGAGAAAGTGTGACTTTGGGAGCACAGGCTGTGTTTTACTTGAGGGGGCACCAACATTCCTTCATTCATCCATTCCCTCCGTCACTCCTGCAACATGCAATTATTGAGCACCTGCTGTATGCCAGGCCCTCAGGGGAGTGCTTTAAATGCCACATGCCAGGAGATCCTCACTGGTTGGTAGCCATGTCGAACAAGATGTATGCAGACAGTGCCTACTGTGTGCAGAGGGTTGAAATGAACAAACCATTGCGTGTTGCACACACAGGCTCCTGCGAAGACCCTCCCAGCCTTGGGGGACCTGTGGGGCGTGCTAAGCTCTAAACACACAGCTGACGTTGATGGGGTACCCACTGCCATCTTCCCAGCATCTCTCCCTGGCGCCTCTCCTGGCCTCCTTGTCACTCACTGTGGACAGCCGGCTTTCCCCCAGCTGGCTGCCTCCCGGCTCCATGAGCTGCCCTCACTTCACTTCCCCACATCATCACCTTGGCCCCCTCGCCCCCCGGTACTGGGGGCTTCAGCCTGGTGTGGACGGAACAGCCTCAGCTCCCAGCGCAGGTCCCAGGCTTGCCCAGAGTTCAGGCTCCTGCATGTGGGCCTCCCATGGTGTCGTGAAAACATGAGGCCCTTACCTCGGCCTGGATGACAACGCGGGCAGCCGCTGCGACGTCCAGAGGCGGAACCCCTCGGAAGGGGTGGAATGAATGCACTTGGTTCCTTCACTCGTTCTGCACACTCCGGCTGCACGCCCCCTCTGACCATGTTCCTGCTCCCCTGGAGCTAAGCCTGGGGAGGCAGAGGGGTCTGGGTCCGGGAAACCGCAGCTGTGGTCCCAGGAGCTGTGCTGTGCGCCGGAGGGGACGGGCTGGGCCCGGGCCCCGGTACAAGTGTCCAGGCATCAGCCACGAGCTCTGCTCTTCAAGGGAGCAGAAGCTGAGCGAGAGTGGGGAGTAGGGAGTGGGGCGGGGCCTGTCAAGGCCCCACTGGCTCCTCCATCGGGCTTCCTGTCTGTTTCCCAGGGACGAGCCCATGTGGTTTTACTAGGAACTCCCAGGATCCTTTCATTCAAGTTCAAACACGAAGCTTTGGCCCCGAGCCCCTTGCACGAATGCGTCATTTGTTCTGAAAGCCAGCTTTGCTGCTCCTCAGCCTGACCTGCTCTCGGTTCAGCCTGTCTTGGCGAGGCTCCCACCACTCAGCAAGTGCAGCCTGCGTGCTAGGTGCTGGGAGATGGCTCAGGTGCCCCAGGCTCTCAGAAAGCAGGAAAGAGCTGGGTCCTTCCCCGTGGAACCGCCAGGTCTGGGGAGGGGTCTCCAGTGGACTCAGTACCTGCAAAACACCCCCGCAATCAGCCGGCAAACACCCCGCTGGCCCCGGGGAAACTGAGGCCGGAGCAGTTTACAGGAAGAGCGTGGCCGTCCCAGGCCTTGGCCATCAGGGTGTCTGGGGCAGGTGGAGGAGGAGGAGTGGGCCGGTCAGTGAGCAGAGCTGCATGGTGCTAGCTATGGACCGTTGACTGTGGCAGGATCCCCGTTTCCTGGCCTGCCCTGCCCTCCAGGGCACCCCCATGCCTCACATCAGGTCTGGTCTATGGGAGACACGGGCAGAACCCTCCCCCACCAGTCCACCCTGGCAGGCACTGTGACATCATCCCCATTTAATAGAGGAGGAAACTAAGGCCCAGTGGGGCACAGGGGTTTGTCCAAGCCACGCGGCCAGGAGGAGGCAGTCAAGACTCAAACCAGATTGGTCCAGCTCTGAAGTTCGTGGTCTCCATGGCTATGCTGTGCCCTGCCCCCAGCTCTACTGAGGACAGGACGGTCAGCCTGCGTGACCGTGACCCTGCCTGCTGGCTTCCATCTGCCCCACACAACCCAAGGACCCAAGGGCTGGGCTGGCTGTGCTGTTGCTGTAACACTGCTGGCCTCAGTCTCCCCAAGCTAGTGGGGTGCTCGCTGGCTGATCCCTGGGGGGCCTGGCAGGAGGGCTCTCAAGCAGAACATGTAAAGCAGACAGGGGACTCCCAGGAATTCTTCCCATGGGGGAGGGGGCGGGGCCCAAGCCAGTCTCCTCTTCACCCTCCCCCAGGTCAAAAGGACTCTGCCCTTCCTCTCTGGGGTCAGCGTGGCCTCTGGGGACTGATTTCACATGTGGGACATCCCTTTGGGGGCCAGGCACTCTCCCCGACCCGTACGCATTATCTCCCGGAATTCTAAGGACCCTGACTGTCCCGGTCTGTCCCTGTCACCTCATCCCAGGAGGTTCACAGAGAACAGGGGTTCATGGCTCACAGTTCCGGAGGCTGGGACATCTGAGATCAAGGCCAAGGTCAAGGCCACAGCAGATCCAGAGTCTGGTGAGGCTCGCGCCCCACTGCAAAGGTGACGCCATCTCATGCTGTCCCCACACAGCTGTGTCGAGGCTGCTCCATGGAACCTTTCTATAAAGGCCCAGGCGTGAGGACAGAGACCCCAGGACCTCGCCGCCTCTCACAGACCCCCCTCCCCACCCCGGTACCATTGCATTGGTGGCTGGGTCTCAACATAGGAATCTGGGGCAATACCAACATCCAACCATCGCTCCAAGAAGGAGGCAGTGCAATTCCCAAGTACTCCAAAACTCAGTGGTGTCACTGGGATTCAAAGCCAGGCCAGGATGATGATGGTGGCGGCGGTGACAGCAGTGGCAGCAGTGACCGTCTGAACACCTGAGCATATGTCAAGCCCAAGGCTCAGCATGTTATACAAACCCTCACTTCAGCTATACAAGGTGCCCACCAGGTTGATCTCTATGTCACAGGGGAAGAAACAAAGTTAAGGCTCTCCTCCAGCCACAACACTATTTCTCCAGAACACTGCACATTCTCATGCCTCAGGGCCTTTGCACCAGCTGCCTGGAAACCTCTTTCCCCATGTGCCATGTGTCTCATCCCCTCACCTCCATCAGGTCTCTGGTGAAATGTCTCCTCGCCAAAGCGTCCCCCATCTGCCTCTCCATGCTGTCCTAGCTTTCTGCACAGCTCCGTCACCTTCCTGGCTGCACAGCTGTGCTGTGCTCATTCCCAAGTGCGCTGGGGCCTAACTTAGCGGGTGGCCGACAGTCATTGGTCAAAGGATGGATGGATGGATGGATGGATGCCCTCTTAGGTTGATGAAGAAGAGAGACAAAGGATCTGAGGCTCAGAGAGGTGAAGGGGCTCATTCGGGGTCCCCCACCCCTGTAAGTAGAAAAGGCCAGAGGAGAAAGAGGTCCTGGCTTTACAGACCGGCGAATACTTGGTCACACCACCCTCGCTCGTGGAAAAGCTAGATGACTTTCTCTCTGAGAAATGACTCCATAACCTTCCTTCCTTTGTTTGTTTACTTATTTATGTGAAATAGAGATAGGGAGACACACGTGCACATACATACACACACACACACACACAGATTGATTGATTGATTGATTGATTTGCTGGTTCACTCTCCAAATGGCAACAGCAGCCAGGTCTGAGCCAGAGCCAGGAGACACAGCTCCGTCTGGGCCTCCCACATGGGTGCAGGGACCTGAGCACTTGGGCCATCTTCTGCTGCTTTCCCAGGCGCATTAGCGGGGAGCCACATCATAAGCGGAGCAGCCGAGACTGGAACCGGCACTCTGACAGGGGATGCTGCTGTGGCCAGCTGCAGCTTAGTCATCCTTGCACAGTCATCTTGTCCCCTAAATGTTAAGATTCTACTCTCCTTTGCCAGTTCCTTGCCCTGTATTCTGGGTGCTTAAGTTGGAAATATTGTTACAGAATAGCGTGGCCAGTGCCGCGGCTCACTAGGCTAATCCTCCGCCTAGCGGCGCCGGCACACCAGGTTCTAGTCCCGGTCGGGGCGCCGGATTCTGTCCCGGTTGCCCCTATTCTAGACCAGCTCTCTGCTGTGGCCTGGGAGTGCAGTGGAGGATGGCCCAAGTGCTTGGGCCCTGCACCCCATGGGAGACCAGGAGAAGTACCTGGCTCCTGCCATCGGATCAGCGCGGTGCGCCAGCCGCGGTGGCCATTGGAGGGTGAACCAACAGCAAAGGAAGACCTTTCTCTCTGTCTGTCTCTCTCACTGTCCACTCTGCCTGTCAAAAAAAAAAAAAAAAGAATAGCACTATTTAACAGATCTCCCTTTAGATACTTGTTTTTGTATCTACATTATCGACAGCCACTACCAAAGAAATACATAGACTTATCTTTTTGTTTTCCTGGCTTGTTTGTTCAGTATCAGTTATGAAACATCGTACCCTATGTATTCTCTGTCATTTGAGCTTATATTTGAGTTTTGTGGTTTGGAATTAAGTGGTAAACTGTGTAAGCCTTTGAGAATGCACTTCTGGCCCATACAGAACAGGTGCCTCAGACCATTAGAAGGGTAGAGAATTCTCAGACCACAGCCTGGTACCCAGGATGGGGTATTGTCTGTAGACCATGTGTGTGTGTGCATGTATCCTTGTACAAAAATACTAAACCGTCACAAACATACAACAAAATGCAGACATGTTTAGTGCACAGCTCACAAAAGTTGTTACAAGGTGATTATCTGCATCACCAGATGAAGATGTAGAATAGTTGCATCACCCCAGAGCGCTCCCCCGTGCCCCTTTCCTGTCACTCCTCACCCACCAGAGGCAGCCACCGCTGTTAGGAAACTGGTGCAGTTTTAGCCAGGTGGCTGCATGGCCCAGCTACCTGAGCCAGGCTCCACCCCCATCCTAATGGGATTCGCTGCTCCGGCTTCCCTGCCCGCCCTCAGGCGAAGTTTTAAAAGGGCGTGTTCCTGCACACGTGCTCTCTTGGCTCTTGGTTCTTCTCTCTTGGTCTGCTCTCCTCTCTCCTCTGCTCTGCTCTATCTTCTCTCCTTGCTAGCTCCTCTCCTCTCTGTTTCTCTCTTATACTCTCTTTTTCCTTCACCGCCCCTTCACTCCGGTCTGTAGGGTGTTCCCCAATAAACCCTTTCCCTTACTCCAGTGTCCGATGTGTTTTGTGACGGCTAACATTAATATATAACAACCGCCACCATCACAGCAGTGTTCAGTTAGTATCTGTCCTTGAACTTCATGAGTGCAATCGTATGGCATGTATTTCTTTACTGCCTTTTAAGCTTTTTCCATCTGACTGGTGTCCCATCGAGCAAACAGCCCACCGTGGATGGGTCCATATCCTGGAGATACATGTGGGTGCTTTCCAGATCCAGGTGTTTGTGCACATTCGACTTGCTTCCCTGGAGACGTAGGTGGGGGTAGAACTGCTGGATCCTCTAAGAGGTGAACGTTCTAAGAACTGCTCACAGAAGGCCAAGGTGTTTGGATCACCTGACCTGCCTGTCACCCATGTGTGAGAGTGTCACGTGTTCACTTGGAATTGTCAGGGTTTTGTCGGAGCCATGCTGGGGACGTGGAGAGACCTCACCGTGGTTGTCTCTGCGTTTCTCTAATGGCCACGGGCCCGGGGCATCTTTTCATGTGCTGGCTGGTAGTTGGGCTATCATCGTTTGAGAAATGCTTGTTCAACTCTCTTGCCCATTTACTTCTTCGACAGTTCGTTGAACATAAGAAATCCACAGCAAGCTGTATTCCTTTATAAAGATGGCCTGTGTTGGTGTTTGGGGGTTTTGTCAGCTTCGTTTTTTTTCCTTAAATACTTGCAGGAAGTTTTTCCTATGGCCGACATTTTCTGATACTGATTTCTGTTAAGTTTGTCTAAGACTTTCTCAGATTTGCCAGCTGGAGGCGGGAACCGCGTGCCAGTCAGACTTGTTATTATCAGTTTCTCTCCCTCCTCTGCTCCCTTTTCTGTGCCGCCTGCACACATCCTCCATGCATCTAACGTTCTGCGCATCCTGTTGATCCTGCCAGGCCCCGCGGAAGTGAGGAGGGGAAAATTGTGGTAGTTGTCATTGCACTTTGGGGTTTGGGGCTCATCGGGGACAACAGGTTGGGGCCCAGGGTGTGACCCTCCCTGGTCTGTGCGGGCCTTTTCTCTCAATTTAACTGACGGTCTATTTTGCAGAAACTGTGGGAAATATGTTGGGTGATGTGGCTGCCAATCTTGCCCGGTTTCCACCCAGAAAGGCTCCCCCAGGTTCCCTTCCTTTGCTAATTTCATATTTATTTTTTATTTATTTATTTATTTTTTATTTTTTGACAGGCAGAGTGGACAGTGAGAGAGAGAGACAGAGAGAAAGGTCTTCCTTTGCCGTTGGGTCACCCTCCAATGGCCGCCGCGGCCGGCGCGCTGCGGCCAGCGCACCGCGCTGATCCGATGGCAGGAGCCAGGAGCCAGGTGCTTTTCCTGGTCTCCCATGGGGTGCAGGGCCCAAGCACTTGGGCCATCCTCCACTGCACTTCCAGGCCACAGCAGAGAGCTGGCCTGGAAGAGGGGCAACCGGGACAGAATCCGGCGCCCCAGCTGGGACTAGAACCCGGTGTGCTGGCGCCGCTAGGCAGAGGATTAGCCTAGTGAGCCGTGGCGCCGGCCTCCTTTGTTAATTTCAAAAGGTGTCCCGGAGTTGACCCTGCCATAGAAGTCACCACATCCCCTCTTCCCCAAAGCCGCAGGAAGCCGGCATCTCCTTGAGTGGCAACACGC